AGGCTCAGAGAGACAACTCAACAGGCTGAGCACAGGCCGGGTGCCATCCCTGAAATACCTGATCCCCCAAGCGCCACCAGGCATGGCCCCAAAGCAAAAACAAAAAAACAAGGTAAAGGCCCTCCCGTTGATCGTCGATTTGCTCGAGCGGGCCCAGTAACGTCTCCATTGGAGACTTTGTTGTTACTGTGTTTGGCATATCGAATACTCTCGGTAGCTTGCCGGGCTCTCCGAGAGGGGCGGAGGAATGGAACTCGGGTCGGCCATGTTGGCCGCTTGTAAGGCGAACGCCCTACCTGCTGTGCTATCAAATATATAAAACTGGAACACCTAATGAACCCAGATAGGCTTGCTTAAATCATATAGTGTGTGTGTGTGTGTGTGTGTGTGTGTGTGTTGTGTGTTGCAAATAGCCTGCCTGCTGGACCAAACACAGGGCGTCACCCACACACAAGACATGTGCTCAGACACCAGCTATTTCCCTACATGACAGATCTTAAGAAAGTGATAAGAGTCTCGTTGTCTTATACTTCATCTCTTACTGTGTTTTTTCTTTCTTCGTCTTTTGACTTGGTGCAAAGGGGCCACACTGAGCTCTAAAAGTCTACATGTCCCAGCAGCATCAGCATAAATGTATCTCTCTTTACTGCGGATAAATTCAGAGCTGAAAGGCCAAGTCTAATCTGTACCTGACATTTGTCCCCTTTGTCCTGCTTTGCCAAGAAATCTTTATGGGGTGAAAGGGCAGGGTCACACCTGACAGTGCTCAGGGCTTTCTCCTGGCTCTGTGCATAGCAATCACTCCTTGGTGGGACTTGGGAAATGATTTACAGCTCCTGGGATCAAACCACAGGCGGCCACATGCAAGGCAAGTGCCTTAACCTGTGTGTCACCGCTCTGGTCCATACAAAGAAATCTGTGTGTGTGTGTGTGTGTATGTGTGTGTGCGCGCGCGCGTGCATGCGTGCCACACCTGGCAGTGCTCAGGGCTTACTCCTAGCTCTGCACTCAGAGGTCACTCCTGGTTGGGGACCAAACCTAGGTCGATGGCCTGCAAGGCAAGTCCCTTCCCTGCTATACTTGCTCTGGCCTCCAAGGAATCTTTTATTTATTCATATATTTTAGCTTTTTGGGTCACACCCGGCGATGCACAGGGGTTACTCCTGGCTCTGCACTCAGGAATTACTCCTGGCGTTGCTCAGGGGACCATATAGAATTCTGGGAATCGAACCGTGGTTGGGCGCGTGCAAGGCAAACGCCCTCCCCACTGTGCTATGGCTATTCCAGCCCCTCCAAGGAATCTTAGAGTAGAGAACAGGCACTGTCACTTTAGCCAAGTCTGGGACCACTTTGCCAGGGGCTGGAGAGTATGCAGCCAAACTCTCCAGGCTGCAGAGCCCTGGCAACGAGCGAGGTGCGGAGGGCTTTGGAGAGCACGTGTCCTGTCTGTCTGTTGGAGGCGAAGGCCGGGGGGGGGGGGGGGGGGGGGGCGGGGGGGGCAGGGGTCTAGAACACTCGACTTTACCATTCCGTGACCCAGACAAGCCCTCAATGGGGTTACAGCACCAAAGCCCAGAAGCGAACAAGCGGACAGGAACTCAGCTCTAACACACAGTTTCTTGTTTTCGATTTTGTTTTGGGGGAGGCCACGCCGTGAAGCGCTCAGCGGGCACCCCTGGCATTCTGCTGAGGGCCCTCTCTGAGCGCTGCTCAGGGAACCACAGAGGGCTGGAGACAGAACCTGGGTCTCCAGCCCGGGAATCTCTCTCCCTGGCTCGGGACTCAGCGATTTCCATCTACCCGTACATTTTCTGCGCCCCCCTCCCCCCTCCCCACCGTCAGGATTCCCGAAATCCCGCTACTGTGCTCTCCTCAGGACTGAGCACTCTGCATCTCCCTCTCTGGGACTCAGTCTTGCCCTTCCCTGTCTCAGCAGCTGACACTGTTTGCCGAGTGACTAGGCGACAGGCCTCCATCTGACAACATCTGTTCAGCCTGCCTCTGGAAACACCGCACCCTCCAGGATGGGGTGTGGACTATTGATCTGGAGTTTAAGATCAATACAGGCATGGTTGGAAGGAAGCATTTTCGTTGCTTCCTACCCTCCCCCCCAAAGATAACATGGTGAACTCATTGTTTTTTTTAAAAATAATTATACCTGGATGCTTGGGCTGGAGCAATAGCACGGCGGGTAGGGCATTTGCCTTGCACGCGGCCGACCCGGTTTCGATTCCTCTGTCCCTCTCAGAGAACCCGGCAAGCTACCCAGAATATCCCGTCTGCATGGCAGAGCCTGGCAAGCTCCCCGTGGCGTATTCAATATGCCAAAAAGTCTCACATTGGTGATGTTACTGGTGCCCGCACGAGCAAATCAATGAACAATGGGAGGACAGTGCTACAGTGCTACCTGGACGCTTAAAAATTCTACATGCCTTTCACTCCCCAGACATACATTTTTATAAGGCATGCATTCTGCAGCAGGGGCCCTCCCTCTCCTGTGACATTCCTTCGTTCACCATTTTCCCATATTTTGGGGTGGGTAGGTGCAGTGCTGGGCATCAAACCCAGGTTACATGCACACAAGGCAGCCACTCCCCACTGCCCCACACCCCAGCCCCAGAATTTATGGCTGTCCTGGGCCCGGTCTTGACAGGGCCTCTGGGATCATTTCATGCCACCGCCCTCTGACTTTTAATTTCCTGCTAACACCTTTCACTTTTGATCTGAAAGTATCGGGGCTGACCTCTGATTGGGTCTAACTCACTGGAACACGCGCTCATCCCTGTGAATCAAGGCATAAGAGTCAATGAATAATCACCGGGCTCAGCCAGGCTAGCTCAGGTTCTGCGGCGTAACTAGGAAACCAATAGCACATGGGTTAAAAAAAAAAATTAAATTAAATTAAAATGTCAGGTGCCCTGATAGCACCCAGCATGAGACGAATTTTTATCACGAGCAACCCAGCCAGGAGGGGCATTGGCTACAGGACCCAGAAGGGGGCTTGGGACGCAGAGGGAAAGGGGCCCCACTTCCTCTCCCAGGGTCCTCAGCCCCTCTCCCTGCTCTGCCCGTGGTGCTTGCTCCCAAGCATGGTGCGGAGCTTGGGAAAACGCTTATAACTGAGCTAACAGGGCAGCCCTTGACCCCAGCCCAACCGCTCAGGTAGGCTCAAGGGCCCGGCCAGAGCTTCAAGGAAAAGACCCTGTATTTGCCCAAACTGCAGCCAGATGAGTCAGTATTTTCTGCTGGTGTTAAAAAAAGGGGGGGGGGGAGCAGCATTCTCTTCCGTCTCCATGGAAACTTACTATAGATCTCTCTTCCGTGTAGGATGCTCCTTCTTGACCTACCCGGGCGTACTGCAGCCAGACGCCATCCCGGCTCCAGGAAACGGCCGCCCCCAGCCCTCTCCAGCCTGGCGGTGGGTTCCAGCACCCGCGCTGATCCCCGCCTCTTGGAGACCTGTGGGTCCTCGGGTACCTGGAAACCGGAAGGAAGGTGCGAGAGCCGCGCTCCCATTGTCCCGGCAACTCCGGATTTAGGGTTGCCATGGAAACCTGGCGCCTTGATACTGTGAGCCCGGAGATGCCTCTCCGCAGGCCACAGCGCGGACACGCGACAACTTTGAGCCCCGGGAGCTTCGCCCCAACTGGACCATTTGACTGGACAGATACCTTTCCAGAACTAAAATAAAACAGTTCTTTGGGGGTTGGGCCTTTGTGTGGAGGCCACACCCGGCAGGGTTCAGGGCTGACTCCTGGGGGGGAGGGGGTTGGGGGACCCTAACGGGGTGCCAGGCAAGCGCCGTCCCCTCTGGGTCCTGGCTCCCTCTTCCTCCGGAGTCTGGACAGTGAGTGGCTAAAGCAAGGGCACCCCCTCCAGCCAAGCGGACGCCAATATATTTGTTGGTGAAAAGAGAACACGTGTTCAGGCAGAATGCATGGCTTTGACAAGGTTTGGGGTTCTTTCCAGGGTGGGGGCACATTGCACGGTGCTTAGGGGTGCCCAGGGGACCCTGCGGGTCGGGGGCGGGCCACGGGGCGCCGGGCAAGAGAGAGTGAGACGCGCGCGCGCGCGCCCCGGGGCCCGGGTTCTCCTGCTTTGGTTCCTGCGGCCCTGCAGGAAGGGTCATGCCCGTCCTAGGCCACCTACCCAAACGCTCGGCCCAACTGCGGGTCCTGGCCATGTCCCAACCCCAGGGGGCGCCACGCTCACGGAGGCCGTCGGGACAGGGTTCCCCTCCCCGAGCGCAGGCGCCCCCACCCCCGCACTCCGGAGATCCAGGGGGCAGGCGTGGGGACCCAGCCACTCGGGCCAGCCCCGTCCGGGGAGGACATAGCACGGGTCGGGGGAGCTGGGGACAGGGGGGACAGCAACTACTCTGGGGGGGGGGGGCTCTCCACGCGCGCACCCGCGGGTCCCCAGGTCCTGGAACCCGGCAGTAGCCCCAGGGACGGTGGGTGCGCGAGGGACTCCGGGCCGGAAGGAGCCCGCCCCGCACCCCTCCAGCCCCGCACCCCTCCCCGCCGACGCACCCCTCCTGGCTCCCCCGCAACCCTCTCCGCGCACGCATCCCCCTTGGCACCCCCTCCCGCACCCTTCCTTCCCCGCCCACGCACCCCTCCTGGCTCCCACGCACCCTTCCCCGCCTACGCACCCGTCCTGGCTCCCCCGCATCCCTCCCCGCCCACGCACCCCTCCTGGCAGCCCCGTTGGCACCCCCGAACCCCTCCCGGCAGCCCCGCACTCCTGTCCGCCCCTGCACCCCTCCCGCTTCCCCTAGCTCCTCCCCTCCCGCTCGCCCCGCCCCGGCGCCCGGGCCTCTCTCCCCGCCCCCGCACCCCTCCCCGCACCCCGCACCCTCCCACTTCCCCTCGCCCCTCCCCGCCGCTCGCCCCTCCTCCCCTCCCGCCTGAAGAGCGCGCGCCCAAGGGAACCCGAGCTTTACTTCCTCCAGCGGCTGCGCGAGCGCGGTGGCACTCGAGCCCGAGCGGCACGACCCGCGCCCCCGGCCCCGGCCCCGAGCCCGCCTCGCCCCGCGGACCCCCGAAGACCCCCCGAGGACCCCCAAGGCGCCGCCCCGACAAACCCACCGAGCGCGCGCGCCCGCCCGCCCGGCCCCAAGCGGCGCGGTAAGAGCGGCGGCACCTGGGCCGGGCGACCCCCCGAGCGCGCCCTCAGCGCCGGGCCGGGACCGGGGGGCGCAACAGACCCCGGGCGGGGTGCAGTGGGCAGGGGGGGGCGCCGGGAGCCCCGCGATCCCAGCCCAAGAGGTGCCGGCGGCGTCCGGCCAGAGCGGCTCTCCCGGGGTCTGCGGGGAGAGAAGGTTCTTCGCTGCCGAGTTTCGCTCCGGGATGTTGTCGGCGGGAGGGTCTGGGGGCCCGAGGTCTGGGGAAGGGGCGCGGATCGGTCCGGCTGTGAAGCGCGGGGCCGGCTCCGAGCCGCGAACTTGGGCCGCGGCCGCCCTGGGCCGAGCCGAGCCGAGCCGGGCCGGGCCGGGCCGGGCCGGGCCGGGGGGTCGCCGCGCCGAGCGGGGCGCGCAGGCTCGGTCCGTCTGGCTTTTGTTTTTTAAGAGGAAACGCGGACCCGCTGGGGGTGGGGGGTGGAGGGTGGGGGTGGGGAGAGGAAATCCTGCCCCTGGCCTCGGCGGCCAGCTCGATCGCGCCTGGAGGCCGAGGGGGGACGCGGGAGCGAGAGGGGGTTCGGCGGGGACCCCCGTGCGCCCTGCCCGGCGGTGCCGATCCGTGCGCCCTACCCGGGTTGCGCCGTCGGGCGGGCCCCAGCGCGTTTGGGGATGCCAGGCGCCTCCGACCCCGGGGAGGCCGAGGGTCCCCGAGAAAACGTGCGGGTCGCGGGGGAGGCGGCCGAGCTCACCTGCCCGGCCGGCTGGGGTCGGGGCCGGGACTCCCCACGCGCGTCGTCCGAACCCCACCCGGCGCCTCGAGGCGCACGGCCTGCACCCCCTCCCCAGCCAGCCGGGGACCGGGCGGAAATGCGAGCGGGGCGCGCCCGCGGCCGCCGGTGCCTTTCCTGCCTCCCCAAAGCATATTGCAGCGTCGAGGTGGGTGGGTGCGCGTTGGGGGGCATTTTTCTTTCGCTCTCTTTTTTTTTTCTAAGCGCAAGACTTTTCTCTGGGCCTGTGTTCAATTTCAGGGCGGCTGAAAATAGTAGCTGACGTGTACTTGTTTAGAAAGTAAAAGAAGAGCGCGCAGCCCGCTTTGGAGATAGGGGTAATTTATTTTAATTCGCCACCAAGAGATAATACGGGCCGCCCCAGGTGGAAGCGGCCCCGGCGCGCCCCCGGCCGCCGGCCCCACACCGCGCAATCGGGGAGATGGATCTCCAAGTTAAGGTTTATGAAAATTTCTGAGTAATGTCACACGGTGCGGCAAAACGGCAGCGCCCTCCGCCCCGCAGGGAGATAGTCAAACACTCATTTCGAGATTAGTCATTCGGCTCTGCTAAACTTTCAAAGGAGAGAGAAGAGAAGAAGGGGGGGAGATATTAAAAAAAAAAGCAAAAAGCAAACCCCACTTCAGAAGGGCCTTTGGGGTTTGTTATGGTTTGGGGTTTTTTCAGCTTCCCTAGGGGACCAATCTGGGTGATACTCCACTTGCAGTCTGGTCGGACAAGTTCTCCTGGGTTTAAGATTTAACCCTTACCAGTCTGCTGTTTCCCCCCCCCCTCCTGGGGGGGTGCTGGGTGGGGGGTGAGGGGGGTGGAGGCGCGCAGTTGGGGATCCATACACCAGCGCCCAAAGGACCCACATACGAAATTGATTTACATGAGGAACTTGGCGTGGGGCCACCCTAACGAGCCTGTTGAGTAAGTGCACATAAATGTGATTAGTTCTGGCCTGGAAGCCGCGGGAGGGGGAAGGGGGGAGGGGGACTTGGCTTCTCAGAGGTTTGTACAAAACTCATTAAGAGACGGACCGCAAAAGCATTCTGTGCTGTGGCTCATATTTCGGTGTAAGTGCCCAGGCCCGGCCCCTGGCCCTTCCTCCCATGGGTACACAATGGGCAGGAGAGAAGGCACTTGCCTGCATCTCAGCTCAGCAAACAGTTCCTCTCCCAAAGGAACTGCAAAATGTAGGATGAAGCTGGCCAGGCTTTTCATGCAGGTGTTCTGGGAACAAAAAATTTTTGCTCGGGGTTGTGGCAGGGCTCTGCTGGGGATAGATGCCCTAAGACGTATTTTTCACCGGGGGCTGGTTTGCCATTTGCCTGTGTGCCTGGCAGGTTGGAGGGACATAATAGCTCGTCCTGTGAGAGGGTGAGGGCAAAAACCCCACCAAGTCTGCCACATTCTGCACATGTGTGCTTCCCGGCCTGTGTTCTGAGGCCTCCAGGCCTCGGAGACGAGGCACATTCTCTGCCCTCCTGGACCCAGGTTGGATCTGCCCTGGGCTCCTGGGGTGCCTGGTACCTGTCAGTGTGAGGTGGGCAGAGGTGTGTTGGGGCTCTTGCCTGGAAGATGCTTTAACAGCTGCTTGGGGGCAATTCAGTGACTAGGGAGCAGCAGACCCCGCGGCTCAAGATGGCCCTGAGTGTGGGTTCGGGGGTAGATGTTGGTTCTTCTGGGTGGCCTGCATCCATCCAGCAGGCGTTCTGTGCCTCTCCTCGTGACCAGCCCTGGGCTGCAGGACGTCCCTGTCCATCTCCCCGTGGGCACGGCTGTTTTCCTTCCTCCTGCCGTCCAGCCCCCCCACTGGCCACCTTGCTAATCATCCACACTGGGCGCTCTTTTTTTAACTGCCTCCCACACGCCTTTCTAACCTATGTGTGTGTGGTGGCTTGTTGGCTTGTTGGCGGTCTGGCCAAGCCGCCGGGTTCATGGTGAAGCGGCGCTAAGAACGCGCAGACCCAAGTCACAGAGTCACGGGGCAGGTGGGTGCTCTGCCACCTGCAGTAAACGCCACCGAGCATCGAGGCACAATATTTTAAATTCCTTGAGGTTCGCGGGGAGCCATGTGGGAGCCCGGAAGCCGCCGCCTTAGAGGAGGAAGTCACCTTCGTGGAGGGAGGCCCCGGCCGTCCACCCGTGTTGTTTGGAAATGAGCTTTAGTTGAATGGCGTGGGTTTTTTTAGTGTGTGTGTGTGTGTGTGTTGGGGGTGTGGGTTTGATTGGGGGACTGTAGAGCCATCGGTGCTCCTCGGGAGACTTTCAGCTCTGCTTGGGGGGGTCTCTCTCTGCTGTTTTGGGGGGAGACTCTGTGGTCATGTGCCCAGCGGCCAAGTGGGTCATGCCCCAGCTGGCCAAGTGCCCAGCCCTGGGTGGTTTTCTTGTCTTCCCTCCCACCCCCCCAAGTCTCCGAGGGTACCATCGAGGCTGGCTTCTCATTTAGAGAGATCATCTCTTACCCTGGTCAATGCTGCCCAGGGCAGGATGGAGGCAGGTGAAAGTGGTCCCCCCAGATCTGCACTCATCAGGTGTCCAGCATGCAGTGGCCTCTGGTTGCCTGGCCTGGTCAACAGGCCTGGTCAGAGCCCACATGCTAAAGGCAAGTCCAGCCGGCAGGTGGCTCAGAAGCACGATCCTGAGCGACCGAGACCCCTCTCCAGCTGGTGGTCTGGGGCCTCTTCAGAGGGGCAGCGGTACGGGGATCTCCGCTCCTTCCAGCTCTCGGGATCCATCAGGGGAGGACACCCCTACGGTCCCAGGTACCGAGGACTGTGGCCCCCCCAGAGCTGGCCTTGGAGAGGCTGGCCTTTCTGGTCTGGGAGAAACTGGCCTGGCCATCCTGGCTAGCTCAGCTCCCTCTGAGCAGGGCTCATGGGGAACTGCATTTTTATTTCACGGAACTGCGTTATTCTTTAGTGATTTAGCACACGCCCATCCTGAGGAAGGGCTCCTAGGTAGCGCTCCTGGCTTTCAGCTTTTACTGGTGAAGACGGGCCTGGGGACGGTTCCGCTGGAGTCCCTGTCCTCTCACCATGCCGCTGGCACCCTGCAGCAGGGGATCCTCACCCTACCCCCACACCTGGTCTTGAACCTCCAGAGCCTTATCTCAGCCCCCTCAGCTCTGCCTAGGACCACCACCCCCCTTCCAAAAAAAACATTTGTTGCCTCTTTGACTTTATTTTATTTTTTTTTCTTTAAGATGAATGATTTTGGACTCAAGAACATGGACCAGGTGGCCCCGGTGGCCAACAGTTACAGGGGAACCCTCAAGGTAAGGGAATGAGTCTTCGTGAACAGAAAAGGAAGGGGGAGTCGGGAGCCTGCCTCGCGCACTGTCTTTGGCTAAGGTCTCTCCTGCACCTCGATTTGGGGGTCGGTGAAATAGAGATCATGTCACCTGCTGAGCAGAGAGAAGCCTCGGCAGTGAGCTGTAAGGCTCCTCCCTCTGGCTGGAGAACCCAGTGGTTGGCTTGCATGGGGAGCCCCTGGGCTCCATTTCTGGCACTGCAAAAAAAAGTAACAACAATAATGAAATTATAGAAACCTGCAGTTCTCAATAGACTAGAGCTGGGGTGTGGGTCTTTGTGTCTACTATGGTGTTGTGGGGCCCTTGGAGAGAGTTTGCCCAGGCAGCCCCGGGCACAGAGCCCCACCTCAGCTGCTGACTGCAAACCAAAAAAAAAAAAAAAAAAAAAAACTAGACCAGCAGATTTAACAGCGGAAGTACCATTCCAGGCGGTGGAAGCTGCTCTCGGAGTTGGTCGCCTCCCGTTCCCTGCCTTTGGGGAACACTGAGGAACAATTCTTTGCCGCAGACGCCCATAATTTCCCAATTGCCTTCTCCGAGCGGGGCGCTAAAATGTGATTGTTTTTCAGCATTGCGTAGCAAACATGTTTCAGAAGCAGTGATTTTTTTTTTTTTGATTGGCCTCCTGAGCTTAGCTGTTCCTGTGTGTGTTTGTGGGGGGAATAGTCATCTCGCTGGCAAGATGTGTCTCGAGTTGTGTATCTCTGAGCTTATTGTCTGATTGTGCACCGAGAGGTGGGGGCAGACCTTTCTGGAGCCCGAAGCTGGTGGCTAAGCTTCTGGGAACTGCATTCTCTCAGTTGATGGGGTTCCAGGGGCAGAAACTGCCTCAAGAAATGAAGGTGTTAGGTTGGAAACCGCTCCCTGCGAGAGAAGGTCCTGCAGAGGGAAAGGAGGAGATGGTGGCCACAGTCCGTTTGGGGAAGAAAAGGAAATAGCCCTTGCTGAAATGGACTTGTTGAAATACACAGGCGCTGAACTGGTTTTCCAAGAAGACTACACAGCCTGGAAAAGGCACTTCCTAAATCACTTAAGCAGTGCTTGTCAGGATTTTAAAAATATCTCGGAGATTTTTTTTTCCCCCTTTTTTAAACAGAAAGTAAAATAAATGTTGGGGGAAGAGCCCTGCTTGAAAACATCTTCTACATGGAAATGAGAATTTTGTAACTTTGCCTTGGTATGGCATGGAGGCCGGGGGCTGCGTTCCCTTTAGTTCTTCCCTTCTTTCTCCTGGACATCTTGCGCTTCACCGGTGGGGCCCCTGCCCCAGCTACAGTGGGATTTCCTGCTCTGGGGCCCTGGGCTGAGCTCAGGATGGTGCCTGCCTTGTGTGTTGCAAGCCGGCCCTCATTGTTCTGCATTTCTAAGAAGGCACATCGACTGATTTTATTTGTAAATGTGTTACACACGCCCGTATTAATGACTCAGGAGATGGGTCACGGCGTGACACATACTTGGGCTTCCCAACGTATGTTGGGACACTTGAACTTCACGTTTTTGTTGTTTCTGTTTTTTTTTTCTCCCCTCCCCAGCGGGTTGGGCAATGGTGAATCAAGACATTATCTATTACTTAATCGGAGTCTTCCCTGAAAGGCTGCTGCTTTCACGAATGTTGGGTGAGGTGATTAGGCAGTGGTGGCCGGGCACGGCCACGAGTCCCGTAGGCTCTTTGCTCCTGAAGGGTGGACATCTGCCTTAAAACCTATTTCCTTGGAAATCTCCACCCTTGGTAGGTGATGTGACTAATGCTGTTTCTTTTTTGGCTTTTGGCTCATGGGCCGTACCCAGTGGTGCTCAGGGCTTGCTTCTAGCTCTACACTCAGGGAACACTCTCGGTGATCCTTGGTGACCGCCATATATGGTGCCAAGGATCAAACCTGGGTGTGTGAGGCCTGGGTTTGGGGGGTTTTTTTGTGTTTTTTATTTTGTTTTGCTTTGAACCACACCTGGCTGTGTCCAGGTGTTACCCTGGGTTCTGCACTCAGTAACTACTCCTTGGCTGGCCTCTGGGGACCATACAGATGCTGGGAATCAAACCTGGGTCAGCTGCGTCCAAGGCCAAATCCCTACGTGCTATGTTATTGCTCCAACCCCAAGCCCTTGGTTTGATAGCAGGTGCTGTTTGTGTGTGTGTGTTACCATATGTATAATCTACTGTGTATATGGTAGATATAATGCAAAGTAAATGCTTCCACGATCATTTATGTTCTCGTTAGATTTTCTCTAAAAATTCCTTAGACTTTTCCTAAGCTTCTATGGCTCACAGGTTTGTTTGCTTGATGTATTTATAAGGAATGGCTAAGGCTGGTAGAAAAGCAACCCAACTTTCTGGTTCAGAGGGAGTGGGGTGGGCTTAAACTTTTCCTACTTGTGATCCCTTGTTTTGGCCAAAAAATACACAGTCTGGCCCAGGGCTGCCAGAAACACCTCACGCAATTTCTGACGTGTCTGGCTCTGAATTCTTGGTTGCCGGCAGGTTCAGAAACCTTCAGCTGTGGACACATTTTTCACAACCCCCAGATGCAGTTTTTCAAGTCCACATGGGGTCTTGGTTGCCCTCTGAGAAGCTGGCGTTCCAGGGCTGGGGTGGGACCCTTATGCCGGCACATGCATGTGTGGCTCTAAGCTGTGCTTTCACGGGGTGGGTTGGATCTCCTGGAGGGCGGGGGGGGGGGGCGTGTGCAGGACTGGCCCCCTGCCTAGCAGGCCATCTCTCACACCCCTGAGGGTGGGCTTCAAGGGGATGGGGGTGCCCCCGACAGCCTGTGCTCACCACCTCCCACTCTGCCCGCAGCGCCAGCCCGCTTTCGACACCTACGACGGCTCCCTGTTCACACTCTTCCCCTCGCTGAGCGAGGAGCAGGCCCTGCAGGAGGTGCCCACGGGACTGGACTCCATTTCTCACGGTAACAAGCGCCATAGAGAGACCTGCTTCCCTAGGAATGATCTGGACTCTTCTAGAACCTTCCACGCTTCCCCCCCCTCCCCTTTCCCCTGCCTCTCTGGAGTAGTTCCTGTTTAGGTATATGCAGCCAGGCTGGCCTCCTTCCAGGTTCCCTGCAGAGAAGATGGTCGAAGAAATGCAGACCCCTTCCCCATCTGGGGGTCCGCAAATTGTTTCCTTTTGTTTGGTTTTGGGGGCACACCTGGTGGTACTCCTGACCCTGTGCTCGGGGCCCATGAGGGACGCCGGGGAGGGACCTGGCATGGCTTGTGTGTGCGGCCACTCCCTCCCCGATGCACCGTCCACTCAGCGTCACCTGTTCACTTCTCCAGTTCTCGGTGGCATTTTTGGGTCTTTCTCAAGGACTAGCACATCACTCGCTTTCAGTTTTAAATGGTGCTGCTTCCGCTTAAAATCGTTTAGCACCAGGGCTGGAGCGATAGCACAGCAGGTAGGGCGTTGGCCTTGCACGCGGGCAACACAGGTTCGATTCCCAGCATCCCATATGATCTCTTGAGCACCACCAGGATGTAATTCCTGAGTGCATGAGCCAGGAGGAACCCCTGTGCATCGCCGGGTGTGACCCAAAGAGAAGGAAAAAAAAATCATTTAGCACCAGGTCGTCTCAGGCGCACGTTAGGCTGCGCTTGTGAGCAGACGGGAAGGCATGATGGCGGTAACGCCGATCTATGTGAGTCTCGTCCTGCTGCCTTCCCCTGCTGCTTTCTCAGTGTATCAGACAGGGACTTTTGATGACGCACTGACCACTCTATTTTGGGAGCTGGGGGGGTGTGGGGGGTGGCAGAGGTCATAGCCAGTGATCTCTTGGCTCTGCACTCAGGAATCACTCCTGGCAGTGCTTGGGGGACCGTGACGGATGCCGTGGATAGAACCTGGGTCAGCTGCGTGCAAGGCAGAGACGCCCTCCCTCTGCCCCCTAAGCCCTGCCCCTTTCTAAACCAGCACCCCAACCCCATCTGGCCCTTCTCCTTGTCAGAACATTCGTAATTAGGTCTGGGTAGAAGTGTCACCAGGTGTAACTGCATTTGCGAAGAAGCCTCCTTTGAGATGTGTGTTCCCTCTAAGCACCCTTATGCAACACTGAATCATGTTCTGGATGGCAGTGTTGAAAGAACGGTGGTTGGCTGGTTGGTTTTATGGCATGATGCTCTCAGGGATGAGGTTGGGGACTCGGGAGCAGAATTGTTCTCTCCGGAAACAAATTCCCCCTCACTCACAGTCCGGGGGGGCTCTCTCCCTAGACACGGCCAGCTGTGAACTGCCACTACTCACGCCATGCAGCAAGGCGGTGATGAGCCAGGCCCTGAAGGCCACCTTCAGCGGCTTCCACAAGGAGCAGCGTCGCCTGGGCATCCCCACCAGTAAGTTTTGGCCCCTTGCTGCTGCCGCGGCCCTGCCCGCATGTGTGTGTGTGTGTGTGTGTGTACACATGCATTTATGTGCGTGTGTGTATGTTTCAGGGGGAGAACCCATCTCACTGCTGGCTCCCCTGTCCTCGCATGTGTGTGTGCGTGCATGCGTGTGTGCCCGTGTGTATGCGTGTGTGTACATGTGTGTGGGTGTGCATGCGTGTGAGCGTATGTGTGTGTTTCGGGGGTAGAACCCTCACTGCTGGCTCCCCTGTCCTTGCGTGTGTGTGTGTGTGCATGTGTGTGTGTGCGCATGTGTGTTTCAGGGGAGAACCCATCTCACTGCTGGCTTCCCTGTCCTTGCGCGTGTGCGTGCATGCATGCATGTGTGCATACTTGTGTGCCCGTGTGTGTGTGTTTCAGGGGGAGAACCCATCTCACTGCTGGCTCCCCTGTCCTCGCATGTGTGTGTGCGTGCATGCGTGTGTGCCCATGTGTATGCGTGTGTGTACATGTGTGTGGGTGTGCATGCGTGTGTGTGTATGTGTTTCAGGGGTAGAACCCTCACTGCTGGCTCCCCTGTCCTTGCGTGTGTGTGTGTGTGTGCATGTGTGTGTGTGCGCATGTGTGTTTCAGGGGAGAACCCATCTCACTGCTGGCTTCCCTGTCCTTGCGTGTGTGTGTGCATGCATGCATGTGTGCATACTTGTGTGCCCGTGTGTGTGTGTGTGTATGTGTGTGTTTCGGGGGGAGAACCCATCTCACTGCTGGCTCCCCTGTCCTTGCGTGTGTGTGTTTATGCATGTGTGCGTACGTACTTGTGTGTACAATTATGTACGTGTGTGGGTGTGCATGCGTGTGTGTGTGTTTCGGGGGGAGAACCCATCTCACTCTTGGTTCCCCTGTCCTTGTGTGTGTGTGTGAGTGCATGCCTGTGTGCGTGCGTGTACATGTGTGTGCATGTGTGCGCACACGTATGTGTGTGTTTCGGGGGGAGAACCCATCTCACCCCGCCGCTCCTTTCCCCTCCCCGCCGGCAGACCCCTGGCTGTGGACCGAGCAACAGGTCTGCCAGTGGCTCCTCTGGGCCACCAACGAGTTCAGCCTGGTGGATGTCAACATGCAGAGGCTGGGCATGAGCGGCCAGGCGCTGTGCACCCTGGGCAAGGAGCGCTTCCTGGAGCTGGCACCCGACTTCGTGGGCGACATTCTCTGGGAGCACCTGGAACAGATGCTCAAAGGTGCCCTCCGTGGGTGGGTCGGAGCCTTGGGGGCAGTCAGGGAGAATAGGGAGGGTATGGGGGGGGGGGTATCTGGGAGTGCTGGAGGCACCTGGTGGGCAGTGTTGGTGTGTTGGGCAGGAAGGGGCTATTGGGGTGGACTGGAGTGTGTTTGGTGTGTGTGGGTTGTCGGTGCACGTAGCGTGTTTGGTGTCTGGTGTTGGGGAGAGTTTGGGGTAGCGGGTGTGCAGTGAGGGTAGGGAAGGGTGTATTTGCTGGGCATATATGGGGGGTTGGGTTGTTTGGTGTGTGTTAGGGGATGTTCGGGGATGTGTGTGATCTGGGAGTGTGTCACATGTGGGGTGTGTGTGTGTGTGCGTGTGTGGATGGAGTGTTTGGTATGTGGGTTTGTGTGTGCTGGGGGACGGGGTGCGGGTTGGGGGACTTGGGCTGTGCAGTACTTAGTGTGACGGGGTGTGGTATCGTGGGAGTGTTTGGCGTATGGGCGAGTGTTTGGTGCGTGTGGTATTGGGGAGCATCTGGTGTTTGTGGTACGGGGGGCGGGGGGGGAGCGTTTCGTGTGTGTAGTGGGGGGGGGGGGGAAATATTCAGTGTGTGATCCCTGGTGAGGAAGGGGTGGGGGGTGCGGGAGGCTCCAGAACAGTCCAGATCATTCCGGGGGAAGCAGTCCTCTCTCTGGCGCCAGTGATCGTGAGAAATGGGAGTCCAGTCCCGTGGGCGCCTCCTGCCGGGCCTGCTCTCCTCTCAGCGAGGGGAAGAGCGTGAACAGGGAGCCGTCGAAGGTGTAGTACAGAGGCAGTGTTCAGTGTGTAGTCCTGGGGGAGTGTTTGGCGTGTGGTTTTAGGGGAGCGTTTGGCGTGTGGGACGGGGGGGGGAGCCTTTGGTGTATGTGTGGCATCAGAGAACCGAGTGGCGTCTGTGGGGTGGGCAGTGTCCTGGTCCTGGTGTGTGACCTCTGTGGGGCCCTGGGTCCAACCCAGAGCAGTGGCTGTGCCCCTCGCCGCGTGTTCTCACCGGCCCCCTCTCGGCACGCGTGTTGCCCCCCTGTGAAGGCCGTCACGGACACATGCTCGCGGGGCGTTGTAACCTGTCCGTGACCTCCCGTCTCCCGTGTCTACCGTTTGCAGAAAACCAAGAAAAAACCGAGGACCCGTATGAGGAGAACTCCCACCTCAACGCCGTGCCTCCCTGGATCAGCAGCAACTCCTTAGGTGAGCCACCGGCGCTGCCCTGAGGGAGGGCCTGACACATGGGCGACCCCCGAGGCCAGCAGTGCAGGACATCTCAGTGGGGGCAGGGACCCCGGTTCTGCACCTGTTTTTCTCGATATGTGGAAAGGGTCGGTCACCGAGTGCGTCAGGTTAAAAAAAAAAAAAAACTACTACCAGTTCCCCGTTTCCTCTCGGTGTGGCTTCCAGAACATTCCACGTTTCACGGGGCTTCCCACCACTCCTGCCCAGGGTGTGTTGGGCGCCAGGTAGCAGGGATTGGGTCAGATGGAGCCGAAGGAGGTGGGAGCCCGAGCACCCTGGCTCTGGGTTTGGGCCTTGAAAGACAGTCACGGGGGCTGGAGCAATAGCACAGCGGGTAGGGCGTTTGCCTTGCACGCAGCCGACCCGGGTTCGATTCCCAGCATCCCACAGGGTCCCCCGAGCACCACCAGGCGCAGAGCCAGGCGTAACCCAGGCATCACCGGGTGTAACCCCCCCGCCCCCCCCAAAAAAGAAAGACAGTCACGAAGTTTGGGTTTCTGCCTCAGGACAGGGCTCCCCATTGGCACCAGGGACCGGTGGTTCCCGCTGCCCACGTGGAGAAGGGGCAGGAGTGGGCGCCCTTCGGACTCGCCCAGAGAGCTTGCAGAACCGGCGGGGTGGGTGTGGGCAGTGGGGAGGTCCCTGACCTCTGGCCTTGGCGGGGCTTGGGGATGACGGCCTTGCCTTCCATGGTTGCAGGCTTCAGCTCAGAGCACGCGCCTTATGCCATGCCGCTGCAGCCGCAGGCGTACCCCAAGGCCGGCCTCCTGGACAGCCTGTGTGCGCCCAGCACGCTCCCCTCCGAGCCCGAGTTCCCCGTGCTCCCCAAGTCGCGCCTCAGCACAGTCAGCGTCAACTACTGCCCCCCGGGACAGGACTTTGCGGCCAGCAATCTTGGCCTGCTGCCGAACGGGACCGGTAAGGCGGGGGCTTGGGTGAGCTGGGGGGGGGGGGAGCACTCCCTGCCCATCCACCCAGCAGACAGCCTGGCAGCTCAGGGTCCAGCCCTAGGGTGGACGGGCTGAAACAGCCAAGCCGGGCAAGGGGCAGGATTTCACAAGTGACACGTCTCATTCATTCCTCTCACGGTGGAAAGCCCCTTTTGCATACCTCAACCTGGGGCAATGTTTGGGGAGACGGTGTGGGAATGGGTTCCTCTTTCTTCCATGGACACGTACCTGTGCAACCTACACAGTTCAGGTTGTGTAGCTGGTCGTGTTTTTATGTCAATTCATGTGCCTGACATAACCCAGCAAAGGTCTGTTGGAATGGCTGGATTCCAGCCTCCCACCCCTGGGTGATCATTGCCCTGAGCTGAATCACAAAGTTCTCATTGCACTCTGGCTGGATGTGTGAGCAGTAGTTATGTTCCTTACTGTTTATCTTCTGCTCCTTGTTATGCATAAGATCCCCAGACAGGAGATCCATGGGGGCTGTGGGGCTGCCTTTTTCATGGCTGTATAATACTCCCCAACTATCCAGGTCGTCGGCCTACTTTACATGGAGGGAAAACTTGTTACATAGCACCTTTGTCCTGAAGTGGGTGTATGTCAGTTTTAAGTGTGTTTCTGGAGCATGCGTCCCGGCGTGGGGTGCTCGGTTAGGGGGCGCTTCAGCCCCCAAATACCAACCCATCCCCGTTGGCCATTGCCTGGCCCGTGGAGTCAGCGTGGGTTCTCGGTCCTTTGTGCCAGGAGGGAAGCCGAGGGAGCGCGAGGTGGCAGAGAGCGGCGGCGGGGACAGCTTCGAGAGCTCAGACTCGCTGCTGCAGTCCTGGAACAGCCAGTCCTCCCTGCTGGACGTCCAGCGGGTGCCCTCGTTCGAGAGCTTCGAGGACGACTGCGGGCAGTCCCTCTGTCTCAGCAAGCCGACCATGTCCTTCAAGGATTACATCCAAGAGTGCAGTGACCCAGCGGAGCAAGGCAAACCGGTCATACCGGCGGCCGTGCTGGCCGGCTTCACGGGTGAGCGTGCCTGGCTGCTGGCCATGGGGGGGTGGGGGGTTCCTGGCACCCCGTGCTGCGGGGGTGTGCGTGGGGGAGGGTGCCAACCCCAGGTCCACGCGCCCCGTCTGCCCTGATTGCAAACACACCAGCCTGGCAGGAATCTCCGTAGACCCGGAGGGCAGGTGGGAGAGGGAGCACTAAGTGCTCACCTGGCCTTCTGAGGGGGAGGGGCAGGGTGCCGAAGTCCTCTGTGCTGACTCACTCGCCCTGGCCAGGAATTTCAAAGAATGTCAACTGGCCAGGGAGGGGGTGGCCTCAAATAACACAGAGGCTGTTTACCTTCTCGAACTTCACAAGTCTGTCTGTGGAGTTGGAAAGTCCAGGAGAGTTATTCTGGGCCCCGGACAGATATTCAGGGTGTTTTTTTTTTAGAGACACATATTTCTGATAGCTTGAGCGGGGGGGGAAAAATATATCGACAAGATTAGATTATTTTGGTGCCCCTCTCCCTGCCCAGCTTGGTATGTACTCTATTTCAGTTGCATATTTTCACCATATAGAGGTGTTTGGGGGGGGGCAAGGGCGGGGGTGGCACTCCCTAGAAAAATCAGGAGGCAGCAGACCTCGTCTGCACAATGGACAGAGGAAGTGTGGCCTCATTTGGTTGAAGCAGGTGGGAACTCGGGATTTTCGTACACGGAAGACAGGGCCGGAGGAGGAGAAGTGATGTCAGGGGTGTGGGTACTTGGTCATTAGTTCCCATGCAGTGACCTCCAGAGGGTCAGGACCCTGCTGGCCCATTTCTCTGGTGGAGAGGCCATGGTGAGGTAGCCAGCTCACTCTCAGGGGTACCCCCAGCTCTGCCTGGCTTTGGGGGTTCCTGGCCCCAGTTTTTGACTGTTTGTATCTTCAAAGTTTTCAGAGCCACAGTGGGACCCTTCACCGCCTGCATTTCCTCTGTAGTGGTCAGGGAGGGACAGAGGACGAGCCCTCTACAGACCCCTGCCTCCTGGCATGGACGGCTGATGCCACCGGGCGGGCAGGGACCAGGATTCACAAATGACGCTTATCAAAATCGGAGGGAGACTCCCATCCTCTGCCAGCCCCCACCAGCATTTCTAGAAACAGTCCTTCCTGACGGAAACCAAGGAGCAGGATGAGGAATTTGGGTGCCAGGAGTAGGCAGACCTGTTTGCTTGACGCAGGCTAAGCCCAGCAATCAAGCTCCCCACTGACCCCTTTTCCAGGGGCAAGAGGCTTGGGAGAGCCGCTGGCCCCGCCCATGGCTCGTGTGGCTCCACCCACAACTCCTGTGGCCCCGCCTCCCCTGGGTACCACATCCAGTGAGGAGGATGAGAGCCTTGTTCGACCAGCATCTGTCTCACCCGCCCCTCTCCCACAGGCAGTGGACCCATTCAGCTGTGGCAGTTCCTGCTGGAGCTCCTCTCGGACAAGTCCTGCCAGTCCTTTATCAGCTGGACCGGGGACGGGTGGGAGTTCAAGCTGGCTGACCCCGACGAGGTAGGCTGGATCCGGGCCCGGGTGCGAGCCGCGGGGCCTTCCCTGAGCATCCGTGAAGATGGGTTCTTCTGCCAGAAGAGGCAGTTCTCAGCACATGTCCCATCGGGAATGACCCCTGAGTGGGCGGGAAAGGGTTCTTGGGTGTTCCCGTGGTGTGCATGCACACACACACACACACACACACACACACACACACACACACTGTCTGGGTGGGTGTTTATGAAACATAGACATCCTCTCCTTGGTATGGAGAGAGCCTGTGATAGGCGTTGGACATACACTGTGCCCTCTCCAGTGTGACAATTCACATTGGGGGACACATACCCTGTCCTGCCTGCCTGATCTGCCATGGAGGCAGCTGGAAGTGGCGTTAGATTTGTTGCTGGGGGTGCCCCCAGCCTTCTGCTCTTCCCGCCCCAGACCCGTCAGCGGGTGCTTTGCTGAGCTGGCCAGACAGACGTACCCCAGGCCCCGCAGTGGGACCAGCTTGGTCCCTCCAGAAGCCCGCCAGGGAGCCCTTGGCGGTGGGGGAATGTGGGGAGCCCGGCATGATCTTGGGACCCTGAGGCGGACCCCCGCTAAGCTGGCCAGGTGGGCTGTGGGCTGTGGGTTGGGGGCAAGGGTGTCACAGCGCTTCAGAGTGAGCCGTGGCCCTCTGGGAGGAGTGGGGTCCTGGTCCCTGAGGTGGTAGAACTGAGCATTTCCCCTTTTTCTTTTTTCTTTTTTCCCTGCGTTCGTGGGTTCTGCCTCCCCCCAGGTGGCCCGCCGTTGGGGCCGGAGGAAAAACAAGCCCAAGATGAACTACGAGAAGCTGAGCCGCGGCCTGCGCTACTACTACGACAAGAACATCATCCACAAGACGTCGGGCAAGCGCTACGTGTACCGCTTCGTGTGTGACCTGCAGAACCTGCTGGGCTTCACGCCCGAGGAGCTGCACGCCATCCTGGGCGTCCAGCCCGACACGGAGGACTGAGGCTGCGGCTCAGCCACCCCGGCCCACTGCTCCGGGACCCTGCCCGGCCAGGAAGGCCTCCAGCAGCAGTGGCCTGACTCCTCCTGATCCGCCCGAGCTTTCCGTAGCCGCTGGCCCCGCAGGGAGCCCGGCTGCGGGGTGGGGGGGCGGCTGCAGCCCCCTTGGGCCGGCCCCGGCCGGCGAGTGTGACCGATGATGGCCTTCTGCGCTCTGGAGTCACGGGGCAGAGGCGTCTCGGCGCGAGGGGGGCTCCTCCAGGCACCGAGAGACGGTGATGCTGTTTCAGAGATCTTGCTTGTACATAGTCTTGTAATCTTGTCGTTTGATATCAGAGTCCTCTAACCATCCTATTTAACAGAAAGTGTATATTGTAATTTAAAGTAATTATATAATGGCGGGGCCGGAGCGCGGAGGGCACTTCTGTAGACCCCCACTGTGGCCCCCCCCTTGTCACATGGGCGGGAACGCGGTCCGGAGATGCTCCCCACTCTGCCCCAGTTCCTTGCCCCGGCCACAGTTCCTCCAGCAAGAACTGTGTCCATGGGGAGGATTTTTATAAGAAATGTAATATTATTGTGTGTGGGGGGGAGACTTCCCTCTCCCCCCCACCCCCGCCATTCTTCCCTCTCCTTGTTGATGTCAAAGCTATGGAACAGTATTTTTCTTGACAAATGGCATCTGTTTTCCATTTCTATGCATGCCTTGAAGTCGGTTTTTACACAAAACTTATTTTTTAGTTCGACTGTGTTTGCCCAAGCCCTTTCCCTTACTCCCCACACCACCAGCCCTTCCTTCCTTCTTTCCTTCCTTCCCCTCCCCAGATTCCTCTATATGGTTAAAATAAGAGTACTATTTTTGGAAATATGTGACTCCTTTTCAGAGATCAGGAGGGATTTATGTAGCAGCTATTTTTACTGCAAAAGTAATTCACTGGAAAAAAAAATGTAATTTGTAAGAAAGCTTTATTTTTATCGAGGCTCCATGTAAAGTGAACAGCATAGCACAGGGCGAGCGGCGGGGCTGGGGGAGGGGCGGGAATGAACAAAGCGGCTTCGCCGGGGTCCTCACTCTCCTGTGGAAGCCCCGAGGGTCCCGTTCTCCTGGGCCCACGCTGCTCATCCCCTCAGAAGCCAGAGCAGTAGCTTCTGTCCTTTTTTTTTTTTTTTTTTTTGGCGGGGAGCAGGGAGTTGTCATCGTAGTCCTCCCCCCCACTTCCCAGGTTTTTTTTTTTTTGGATAAAGTGCTCGGAGGCTTCTACGAGAAGAACACGTCTGATGCATCTCGCAGAGGGAATATTCCAGTCACTGCAGAGGCGCCACCGTTTTCAGGGCACCTGACCGGCTTGTGTTTGGGCCCTTCATTGCCGTCAACGCTGGTCTCTGGACGAACAGCCGGCCCATGGCTGGCATCTGCAGCAGCGTCTCTGGCCCGTGACAAGAGCCCAGAGAGCCCCCCGTCTGTCGCGACCCAGGGTATTTCTCTCCGGCAGGACCAGTTTACTGCCTGGGCATCTGTTTATAACATCATCAGGCATGCCACGGGAGCGGCCGGCTGCATCTTAGTCACTGGCTTCTTTGTTTTACGGGCATGAACCACGGGAAGGGCCCCGAATGGTCTCACCTCTTCCTCCCTACCCCCCACGTCAGTGTCCAGTGGTTTCCCGGCTGAAGGGTTGGGGAAACTTGGCGTCTGTTGTTGTCTCTTCAAAACCTCTGGCATGGGAGTGAGCAGAGAGAGCTTCACTACGACGGTTTTGTAATTTGGTCTTTTCTTTCTCAAGTAATAAAGTATTTTGTTTATATAAGCGGGTGATGGTGCTCATCCTTCTAGAAGGCTCCCGACAGGGAGGAGGAGGAAGTGGATGGAGGCTGCTCACTCATGTCTCTGTAGAACTGGTGTGCTTTGAGGTCCCAAGTGGTGATAGGAGGCTGGACCCAAAGGCCCTACCCGAGGCCGCCTTCCCCCACACTTGTCTTTCAAACCAAAACTTGTCCTGGAGAGAAAAGACGCATTCAGAGGCTCTTGCCTTGTGAGACCTGTTGGGAGTGTCACCACTATGTATGGTCCCCAAGCACCGCTAGGAGTGACCCCTGAGCAGTCAGGGCTAAACCCTGAGTACCACAGGCTATGCTCCTTCCCAATTCTGTGTGTGTGTGTGTGTGTGTGTGTGTGTGTTGTTTGGGGGGGGGGGGGGGCAACATCACGTGCTCCAAACCTTTTTTTTTTTTTGCATTTTGGGTCACATCCAGGGATGCACAGGGGTTGGGAGCTTACTCCTGGCTCTGCACTCAGGAATTAACTCCTGGCGGTGCTCAGGAGACTATATTGGGTGCTGGGAATCGAACCTGGGTCGCCTGTGTGCAAGGCAAACACCCCACCCGCTGTGCTATCCAGTCCCAGCCAGGTGCTCTAAACTTGAAGCCAAACCATCCACTTCTAAAGTGATTCTAGCTTTGGCGTTGTCTCCCTGCTGTGCGCCTTTAGAGGGGACCCATCCCAGCACCCCCCCCTCAGGGCAAACACCTGCCCTGCTCGGGGGGTGTAGGGCTGGCAGGCAGGGCTGGAGTTCAGACGTGGACATGACACGGTGCCTCCTGCCACCCTCCCTCCCAGCCCCTGAAACGCTTCCGGAAGTAGACTTGGCAAAGAGGAGGGTGGTCCCTGGGCTCCTGTTGTTCTCAGGCAGGTACTTGGAACGCCTGGACACTCCACAGTTGAAGCACATCCGAAGAGGTGGATGGTAGTGGGGGTTTGGGGGGGGGCAATCAGGATGGGCTGGGGGAAGGCTGGCACACATCTCTTCCCCAGCTGGACATTGCAGAAACGTGAGCAGCTTGAGGTTGGTTATGGAGAGAGGATTTCTGCTGTGGGATTCACCACTTCCAGCCCCCTCCACGCTGGCTTGACATCAGCTGACCACTGGCCCTCTGTGTTCTGCCAGATGAGAAAAGAAAGGTGTTGCCCCTTTCTTTGGTTGGTTGGTTTTTTATTTGGCAGTACTCAGAATCTATCTACTTTTTTTGTTTGTTTGTTTTTTGGGTCACACCCAGCAGTGCTCAGGGGTTCCTCCTGGCTCATGCACTCAGGAATTCCTCCTGGTGGTGCTGAGGGGACCATATGGGAGGCTGGGAATCGAACCCGGGTTGGCCGCATGCAAGGCAAACGCTCTCCCCACTGGGCTATCACTCCAGCCCCAAGGATCTATCTACTTTTGACTCTACACTCAGGGATCGTGCCTGGCAGTGTTCAGGGAACCATATAAGGTGCCAGGGATTGAACCCAGGGTGGGTCCATGTGAAAGGCAAGCTCACTAGCTGTTGTACTATCTATCACTCCAGCCCCCCAAATGGTTTTTGTTTTTGTTTTTGTTTGGGGCCTTATCTAGTTGTGTTCAGAGATTACTCCTAGCTCCGCCCTCAGGGGGCCCAGATGGGGTGCCAGGGATTGAACCTGGCTCTGCTGAGTGCCATACAAGCACCTTTCAGCTATACTATTGCTCATACCCCTGTTGTCCCCGGAGACCATGTTAATGAAGAGACTTGTCCCTAGGAGTGGTCCCTTCTCACCACCCAGCTTAATAGGATGCGGGATGTTCTCCCTGCTTCTGTCTCCCAATCTTAAAGCCCCAAGTCCATCACAACGGACAGGACCCAGAGGTGAGCGCCTGCTGGAGGGACCCATCCCCAACAGTTGTCCTTCAAACCAGAACTTCTTAGGCAGAGCGAGGACAGGGGTTAAGACACTTGCCTTGCATGAGGCCGATCCCGGGCGTTTGAGTCTATGAAGAAAGCATGCAGGTGTATGATTGGGAGTGGCAGAGGTGTTTATGCTTCAGGTCACGGGGGAGGGAGGGTGTTCCCTTTGATGATGTCCCAGGGGACATGTGGCGCTTTCTTCCAGGTGAATCGCCAAATGCACCCACCCCAATACACTTCCACATGGGGACCATCTCAAAATGGCGGAATATTTTAGGATTGTCTTTAAATTTCGTAGGACTGTCTTTAAATGGTGGAATTTTTTTTTTAAACTCACGTGGCCTTGTGACATCATGCATTAGTCATCTGGAAAACACTGCTGCAAGGGATTGGCACATTTCACGACACAATAGCCAATAATCACATTACTTACTGTCACCACTAATTTCATCACCAAGTTCCGAGAAGCTGTCAAGCGTACAGTAGCAGATAAATTTTCAAAAAAAAAGGGGGGGGCAAATTTCCACTTGGAAGTTCAAATGCTTTCGTTGGCAACACATGCTCCTGTTTTCTCGGGAGCTGCAGGGTTGCTTTGGTTATTGTTTGGGTTGACGGCCACCCACGGCAGTGCTCGGGGCTTACTTGTGGCTCTGCTCAGGGATCACTCCTGGCAGAGACCGGGGAAGGAAGACACAGGATGCTGGGGATTCAAACCCAGCGTGGCTGCATGCAAGCAAGGCAATGCCTTACCGCCTGTACTTGCTCTCTGGCCCTTGTGTCATTTAATGTCAAGGAAAAAGCATCAAACGACCCAGATCTGACCAAACGCACTTAGTCTTCAGTTCTTCCAGGTAAAATGGGCATTTGTGGGTGGACAGAGCGGTTCATTCAGCTGCGTACTCAGCTGCGCCCTGGCCTTTAGTGAAGCATGCATGCTCTTCCCTGGTGCTTGAGCACCACAGGAACGAGCACGTGCCTGCATTTCCCTGGCATGCAGAACCCCATAGGCGCCTTCTCTGAGCACAGCCTAGCTTGCGCCACAAAAATCAAATGGAGAAAAGTCCAGTTCTTAGCAAGACTAGTTTTCAGGGCTTCGTGCAGAATAGTTATAGTTAAACTAACTGGTATCTTCTTTTCTTAAAAAAAATTTTTTTTTATTTTACTGAATCATCGTGAGATACAGTTACAGACTTACAGACTGTCACGATTGCAATTCAGTCAAATGATCAAGCACCCATCCCTCCACCAGTGCCCATTCCCCACCCCCAATGTTCCCAGTGTCCCTCCCGCCACCCCCACCCCTTCCCACCCCCTGCCTCTGTGGCAGGCACATTCCCTCTTACTCTCTCTTGTCCTTTTGGGTGTTGTGGTTTGCAATACAGGTATCAAGAGGCCATCATCTTTGGTCCATAGTCTACTTTCAGCAAGCCTCTCCCATCCCGAGCGAGCCCTCCAACCATCATTTATTTAGTGCTCCTCTCTTTGTCCCAGCTACCTTTTCCCCTAGCACATGAGATCAGCTATCAAGCCGTGGGGCAGTCCTCCTGACTCTTATTTTAACTGTCCTTAGGTGTTAGTCTCCTATTATCTAACTTTTCTCTCTTGTTTCTGTGAGCTCATGAAGTAAAGCGACAGACGAAGTGTCTGCAAACACAGCCCAGCAACGCAGCCCTGGGCTGCCAGGCCGGCAGTCTCACCACATTCTGTGTTCGCCCCCGAGAACATCAGCTATGCAATGGCAAGCTGACTGGGGTCATCCTAAAACTCAACAGGGAGCCCACCACCCCGTCCCGCCCTGTGGAGTGTCTCAGAGCCCTGTCTCTGGAGTCTGTGGGCCTCACTTGGAGAAATCTCCTAGACAGCAGAGAGGCTTACCCAGACAGAAGGCTGGAGAGGGCAGGGGAGCTGGGTCGGGGACGGGAGACTATAGCCTTTTCCTTCACCCAGAGCAGTTGAAACTCGAGAAAAAATCCAATAGAACCCGAGTAAACGGCCAGACCTCAGAGGAATCCGAAGTGCCTGAATGGTGGCCAATTGTCAAAATTATTCCTTTTGAAATAAATCAAATAATGAGAGAACTATCACATAGCACCAGTGGGGTCCCTCTGAACAGGTTATCTTCTCTTTTGTTCGACAATATGCACGCAGGACTGGAGAGAAAGCACAGGAGGTGACGTACTTGCCTTACATGTGGCTCACCCCAGTTCAATTTCTGGCACTGCACACGGCCCCCAAATCCGAAGTGACCAGGAGGGAAGGGGGTAAGAGGAGAGAGCCACATTCAGCATTCCCCAGAGC